ACAAGTTGCTATTTTTCCTGATAAGGTAAAATTTTATTGATAAAGGTACCAAAATGGTACAATTACAACAACCCAACTGCAGATACAAAAAAAACTTCTACATATCATCTAACTCCTCAAGAAAATTCATATATTGACTTCATCAAAAAAAATTCATATATTGATCCAAGTTACCCATAACACTACTTTTACACTAGAAATGCAAAACAAATAAACACCTATTTTTTATCCTGGAGATATGTTGTCAACATTGACAAGTTACATTAACAGTGTTATTAAAATGACTATGCAGTCAAAGAATCATCTTTATTACTCAAATCTAAATGGGGCTAGATGCTCCAATTCACGAGAATTGGATGACCATGACAGATGATATTTACAGATAAATGACATTCTTGATGTCCCAAATTGTACAATTAACAGTTAACAACAAAATTTGAAATGATCTTGAGCAATATCTAATAAGTCCACGGTTCCTCATTTCTTGCATTTGTGGGGTAGTATTTATGAATCTTCAAAAATATGCAACAAACAGCCTTGACTTGAAGAAAAGCTTGATGTTTCTAAGTACCGATGGATAAAATATAGCTACATGTTGGTAAGAAAGAAACATCGACTGCCAAGAATGCAAAAAAAAATATCATTGCTTTAGTAAGAATGTCTAGCAAGAACAAATTTAAAAGTTGAAGTCTACACAGAGATATTTCCACACATAAATAAGTGATTTATTAGTAATGGAACCATGGCCCTGACGCCTAAGCCTGCTCAAGTCTTTTACTTACTCACTTCAGCTCAAAGAAGAAATGCATAAACATGAATTTCATAACATATTCAAGCACTTCATCATCATAGAGTTATATTCTTGTTATGTAGTATTTCTTTTATTTAATAATTACTTGTGGGCTTCTCCTGCCAAGCTAGCCAAATAAAATAAGAAAAGAATATGTTCACCACTAGATAAGCAAAAAACAGGACCACATGTCACACCTTCCATTTTTGTGAGGAACCACAGCAGCGTGCTGGCGTGAGACTGACTGATGATCAAGGACAAAATCACAAGTGTGAAACTGTCGTCCAAAGATATGCCTTCGCTTATCCAAATTAATTCGATCAAGTACCTCCCCGTCCTTGATCACATCAAGATAATAAACACCTCGACGTGGCTCAATAGCCCAATCAGGAGGCTGCCATGTTGATTGTCCCCCTCCGTGGGTGACATGATGAGTTGGCGCTGTAGAAGAGGTTGCATCTGCCGCAACGGATTTCTGCAAAGCAGGTTGTGGATTTACGTATTGAGTATGTTGATGAGATGTTGTGGACTGTGCATATGCTGGAGAAGAATGGGTAACTGGCTTGGTTGGCTGCAATGCTGATTTAGCAGCTGAATTCGCAGACACTGCAAATGGCTCCAATGACTGAGCTTTCTTAAATCGATCAAGCCCTGCTCTACCATACATTTTTTCTGTATCTTCAGCTCAAACTACAAGCTCTTCCTCAGTTGTATAATATTTCTGGCATGGATCCTTCTTACCACTACATTATCTCAGAATTCCATAAACTCAGTTCCCATATTAAATAACACTGCATTCCAAAACAAGGATTTAACCAACAAAAGTCAATAGAAAAAGAGAAGAGCATCTACAACACTCTTTAGAGTCCATCCACAAATATATGTATTAACTTTTCTATTTAATCTATTGCAGAAGTTCATAAAATATATAGGAAAATAAAGAAAACAAACACACTTGTTTTACTTATTATGTCTATTCAACAAGTGGACAGTTTGGTTCGGGAGAAAATCCCGTTATGGTTTTATTCTCTCGCTTGTACAATGCAGACTTAACTAGTTTAGTATTTGAAACTTGAAAGTTCAGATTTCCTGGTATGAGTCTCAAATGGTGTTGTATGCAAAAATACTCTACTAAAGAATTGATATATTACAACATGGTGGTTTATTTCAACAACCACACAAGAGGATAATTTAGGTTTTGAACTTTACAGGTTCAATCTCTTAAATGTTCTTAGACTGAACTTGTTCTGCCTTAATGTATGTCAAAATTTTAGTGATTTTTCATACATATCTATGTTCCCGCATCGAAAATACTGGATTCAATCAAACCCATTGTACAAAGGCTGCATCCGCCTCTGTTCCACATCCCTATGTACAATAACATATAACTTTATATGGAATGAGAAGGAAATAGTGCCTTTTTCAGCATTGTAATCCAACAATGTCAATATAGATTCTGCTAACAACAACTAAACAACTACGCCTCAGTCCCAAACAAGTTGGAGTCAGCTACACGAATCCCCACTATTCCATTTAAGCTCAACTCATGTTGTTGTCACTCAATACAGATTCTGCTTCTGCTGACACAAGTAAATAGTTGTTATAAAATAAACTTGTACCTCAACCCTATAGAATAGTCCAACAACCAGCAACAATCTTTAAAGCTCAAACTATGTGCAAAAACAGAAAGACAAAAAGAAAAGAATATCCTCCACCACTACTAACTTGCACCAATTTTAAGCATTTCACAAATCCAGAATTAAAATTCAAGCTAAAATACATAATTAGCAAACAGGTTTGCTATGAATGAATCAACCGAAGCTTATATTTGCAGGCCATCAAAAGCAGATAAGTATTAGTAACAAAAGAGATTAGAAAAGAAAAAGAAGTGGTCTTTCTCAGCATTTAAACTAACAATGTCAATATAGATTCTGTTATTGTACCTCAACCCTATAGAATAGTCCAACAACCAGCAGCAATCTTAAAAGCTCAAACTGTGTGTAAAAAATGAAAAGAAAAAAAAAAGCCTACACTACAACTGTCTTGCTTAAGCATTTAACAATTCAAGAACCAAAAATTGAGCTAAACAAATGCAGAAGTCACTGTATATGGACATGGGGATCCATGAATTAGCAAAAGGGTATGTTTTGAATGAATTAACATACCAAATTAACATACCAGATAAGTATTAGCAAATGACATTAGAAAAAAGAGGTTGTCTTTTGCAACACTGTAATCTAACTATGTCAATATAGATTCTGCTAACACAAGCAATAGTTTGCACCTCAACCCTATAAAATAGTCCAACAACCAGCAACAACAACACACCCAATGTAGTCCCACAAAGTGACGTCTGGGGAGGGTAGAGTGTATGCCGACCAGACCTCTCTACTTCTGAGGTAGAGAGGTTATTTCTAATTCCGATAGACCCTCAGGCTCAACAAAATAGTACAACAACATGCAGCAAACTTAAAAAGCTCAAACTATGAGCAAAAAAAAATGAAGAAAAGAAAAAACCTACACCACAACTGTCTTGCTTAAGCATTTAACAATTACAACAATACCCAGAATAGTCCCACAAAGTAGGATCTGGGGAGGCTATAATGTACACAGACGTTACCCCCTACCTCATAGGTAGAGAGAGTTGTTTCCGATAAACCCTCTAAGCATTTAACAATTCAAGAACCAAAATTTGAGCTAACATATGAAACCAAATACAGAAGTCACTATACAGGGGCATGGGAATCCATGAAATAGCAAAAAGGGAAGGAAAAAAAAAAACTTTACACCACAACTGTCTTGCTCAAGCTTTTAACTATTCAAGAACCAAAATTTGAGCTAACATATGAAACCAAATACAGAAATCACTATATAGAGGAATGAGGATCCATGAATTAGCAAAAGGGTATGTTCTATCAGCAAGGGATCAACAGAAGACAACTGTAATAACAAATAAGATTAGGCAAAAAGACAAGATTTAACTAACCTCTTTGACACAAAAGTAAACACAAGCAGCTAAAAACAAAAATAGAGAATGCCCCTTTTGTTGTATGAGATTTAGGGTTAAATTTAACAGTTAAAGTTGAAGCTAGTAGCCGATCGAAGGAAGCAAAGATGATCACTATATAGAGGAATGAGGATCCATGAATTAGCAAAAGGGTATGTTCTATCAGCAAGGGATCAACAGAAGACAACTGTAATAACAAATAAGATTAGGCAAAAAGACAAGATTTAACTAACCTCTTTGACACAAAAGTAAACACAAGCAGCTAAAAACAAAAATAGAGAATGCCCCTTTTGTTGTATGAGATTTAGGGTTAAATTTAACAGTTAAAGTTGAAGCTAGTAGCCGATCGAAGGAAGCAAAGATGGTGAATTTGGGGATTTTTGAAGTTCAATTCTTGAGTTTGGAAGAAAGAATGGAGGCGAGAGATAAAAGAGGGATTTTCCAAACGCTATGTTTTTTTTTTCTAAGAAATAATTTTTTGGGATAATAATTTGGATCTTATAAAGTTGTCATACTCGCCGTGTGACCTATAGATCACGGGTTCAAGTCATAGAAGAAGCTACTTCGAATTGAATTAGGATTAAAAGCAATCTTTTCCCAAACCTAAATGAATGCGAAATATTTGTGTATTGAATTGCTCTTTTAATAATTTTAATGTGATGAATACGATCACTTAATTAAAACTATCACTGGTAAAATAATAAAATTATTATATATTTTTTGTCTAATAAAGTGGTTGTACTTATCTCGATCGTATTAATTACTAGGAAAATAATCCATTATATGAGTAAAATTTCAAGTTATTATCCTGAAGTTTTTTTTGTGAATTTTGAAACTTAATAATAATGGTACTTTCTTCAATTATAGAAGCTAAAAGGTAATTATTTGTAATTTTTTTTCTTATAAGTCACATTGATGATTGGAGCAAGAGGCAATATTTTTACTAATGTAGTTCATTATCCACTCCCAAAGACGGTTTTTCTTCGGGTGCAGCAATGGCGAAATACCCCTTTCTAAATCAACGATAGTAATTCATGAGCCCAAAAATGACCACAACTCGGATAAAGAATGTTTGAAACCTCTTTTCGTCCTTGCGATCAAGATAACAAATTTTTAGTTTAGTGACTTAACTATTATAACGAGTCAAGTTCAATTATTTTAATATAACAAAAAAAAAAATTAAATCCACAAAAAACTCAACAGTTATCATGAATGGTTTTCATTTTCACTTAGCCAAATATAAACAGAATACATTGGACTTCCAAAAGAACTAATCAAATCCTAGAATTGTGGACATTATATACATACCAAAAAAATTCTCCTCATCCTATAGTTTGAAGTGATCAAAGTTCTTCATGTCCAAAAAAAATAAAAAATATCGTTGCAAATCTACTCGAATGTGAGATGTTGTACAACCACTGCACCTAAATCCCAAACAAGTTGGGGTCGGTATCAAACAAGAAGTTTAAACACGTACCAATCAAACGTTGTGAGTGGGAGATCGTTGTCTTGACCAGTGTAAGTTTTACACATTTTGCTGCTTCCAGTCACTTGTTAGTGACTCAAGAACTATACAACAACAGCGCTTCAATGAACTATGTTAGTCCTTCTAATATAAAGTTCTGCAAACGCCAACGAACCCTCTAGATCACGAGGGGATCAGATTTCGAGAGATATTCCTTCTCAACTCCGCTACACATGACTAATAGGCGTTCTTGCATATTAGAAATTATGTTTTTCGTGATCCTTTTCTGATGTCTCGAGTATTTCAACCAAGCGATTCCCAGTTGTACCTGTACGCTGCATCTTGTCGATCTTGAGGGGACATTCTCAACTTGGTATCCCAGGCGAAGCTGCAAAAACATAAACGAGGAAATAAATGAAATCAACTAATAAGCTATGAAATACATGTGACTAGTATGGTAGTGTCCCTACATTGAAATAATCACCCAGTGGAACGCCATGAAGAGTCATGACCTCTTCTATAAGCCAATCGTTTTTATCAGACAGGCGAGACCTCTGCTGCGTGCTTGTCATTTCACCTCGATAACGGGAAATACACTTATCAAATTTATAATAAAGTTGCCTCTGATGCACATCAGGCTTATCAGATTCTTCCCAGGGACTACAAGAATAATTAAGACAACCGACTCTTTCCATGACCTTACGATCAAGTTCACCCCCACTGAATAATTCCATGAAAAACTCCGTCTGCAAATAACCCAAAAAGAAACAGTCATAGCAAATCAGTAAATACATACATTCTTCCCAAGAAAAGAAAAGAAAAAAGAAACAAGACAATAAGTAGCCTTTAGCTTCTATCGGAAACAACCTCTCTATCTCTTAGGTAGGGGTAAGGCATGTGTACACTCTACCCTCCCCAGACCGCACTTTGTGGGGCTACACTAGTTATGTTGTTGTGGTGGTGGTCGTCATGGTGGGTTCATGATGAGTTACCCCTTCCATTTTTGGTTCTGTTCATTAACCACAGCCATGTACAAAATGCATGGGTTCTTGATGAGGGAGGTTGGTGCGTCTAGAGGAAGATTGTATTCTTCATGCACAAACTAACTTGATGCTATTAGAGGAAATAAGTTCATGAAAATAGAAATGAAAATGTACTCTCACGTGAAGAGAAATCTTTGGACCAAATATAAAAAGGTAAAAGTAATACATGTTTAGAAAGAAATGCAAAACACCATTAAGAAGTCCTATTTCATATGCTCTAATCTCAGACTACAAAAATAGAGCAGGTAACGGATAGTCTAACAATAATTGGGGCATGTACAAACGGAAGTGGGTGAGAAATTTAACCACCACTGCATGCAGACCTATAAAATCCCATCTCAACCGAAATCCATCCAATATCTTTAACCACCAAATCTCTCGAACAGAAGGAAAAGAATTTACATACAGGACATAAAAACATGCTCGAATGTGTGTGCATGTGCATATGGTGTGTATGTGTGCGCGCGCGTGTGTAAATTACTTCCTCTGTTTCAATTTGTTTGTCTTACTTTCCTTTTTAGTCCATTTCAGAAAGAATGCCTCTTTCCTTTTTGGCAACTCTTTAATTAGGGGGCATTTTGGTACATTCTACTTAACACCACAAGATTCAAACGGCTTCTTTACTTGAACTGCGCATCAAACAAACAAATTGAAACGACGGAAGTATATATTATATGTATAAAGAGAGAGATAAGAGAGTGATAACTTGAGGGCAGAAGAGATACTCACTGGAACTGAAAGTACAGAGGAATAAACGATAGACATATTTATATCCTCCATACCGACGAATGATCCACCCTCTTCTGATTGAAGGCTTTTGCCTTCGGAGTCATCATCTGCAGCTTGGAAGTCACTGCCTATTGAATCCTCTTCTGCCATTTGAAGGTTTTTAGCTTCGGCTTCGGCTTCAACTATCTGCACCTTCTGCTCGGGACTCAAAGCTCTTGCTTTCCACAATGCCATGAAAGTCCTGGACACATAAGTAAATGAATTAAAATTACTTGTTATTACTATAAGCTGCGCTCAGCGGAGGAACCCAACATTTTATCTGACAACAGCCCTTTTTCCCCTTAAAGTTCAATTTGAATGCACAAATTCATTAGCACCATGGCCAATCCTGAATCTAGTTTCATCCATCAAAGACACTAGACTCCTAAGATTGGATGGAACAAAAAAGGCATAATACATAAATAGACACTCAAACTTGGCCTCAACGAGCAAGTAAGCACTCAAACTTTGAGAGTGCACATCTAGACATCTCAACTTGGTCTCAACTGACAACTAAACACTTCAACTCTTCCCCACTATGTCTCATGGACACCCAACCCAGATGCTGACATGGCACATAAATTTTGGAGGCGTCTAGATTCTGTAAGTTGGAGTGTTCAAATGACAGATGTGCATTCTCAAAGTTAGAGTGCTTATTTTCCAGCTGAGGCCAAGTTTAAATCTTTGTTTATGTAGCATGCCAAGAAAAAAATTGAAGCACCATGCTTAAGGCTAATGCCTAAATGATGCAACTCGGGATAGAAGCCTACTATTAGGCATCCTGCCGACCAACCATATGTCTAAAGGGATAGAAGTCCCATCCCAGGCTGAAGGGAAAATCTTATACTAAGTACTCCCTCTGTTTGTTTGTCCAGTTTTGACTTGGAACGGAGCTTAAGAAAGTAAAGAAGTCTCTTGAATCTTGTGGTCTTAAACTAAAGATAAGTAGAATGTACCAAAATGCCCTTTAATCTTGATGTCTTAAACACTCTGTGGGAAGTTAGAATTAAGAGTTCCCCAAAAAAGTAGGAATTCTTTTTGTAACGGACTATAAAGGAAAGCACGACAAACAACTTGAAACAGAGGGAGTACAAAGTACTAGTTCAAAATAGGTAAGGCCGCTTATAAAGAGGTGAACATTTACCTGTGAGCCACATTAAAAGAGACAAAAGAGTGGAAATGAAACTTCAGCCTGCCTTCCTCGTCTTGAGTCTTGGCACCATGCCTTGCATCAAAACCTCTACCTGGCTTTAAAGTCATGATAACATTCGGGCTACCCATTGATGCCAAAGTAGGGGATTCAACTTGAATGTCTTCAATATCTTCCCAAAGAAGGAAAAAATTGGTCTTATGTCCAAATAGATCAGAATGGAAACCGATTATTCTTGCAGACAAAAACAGACGGCCCTGAACCAAAAAAATTACAAATAAATGCATTAAAAAAGAAGGCATCGTAGCTCCCAAAGTTCGCGGAGGCTCATTTACAACCTTTACAAGATACCAGAGTCATATCAGAGAGAGAGCGTTAGCAATCTTGACCAATTGATGCCTAGGTACACTAAAGACTAAAGACACTATGTAAAAGAAAATTTCCATGATTTATCAACACAAAGAATCAATAGACATAGTTACCTGGAGGGGCATCTTGCGTTTTAAGTGACAGGCAAAATCATTGATGAGAAATTCCTCTGGTGGAAGCCCAAAAAGCTTTTGGAATGCTGAATTAGTCTGAGGAGATCGTACTTTTATCTACAAAATTATTCAGAGACACCATTAAGTAGGAAAAATAAATCCCCATATTTAGTGAGATCCATTGACCATGTAACTTTAACTGCAGAAATGGATGATTTACCTTCTTCCCAACTTCCTTCTCCATCTTAGACAGATAATCTTTGACAACATTGCTACCCTTGGTATTATTCAAGAAAACTCTTAAATGCAGCTTAGACTGACAGGCCTGTGCTAACTTTCCTTGAAGAGGAACCATAACATCAGACAGATCTGATATATTAGTTTTGACAAAATTGATTTCAGCATGCCCAAGAGATGTAGCTTCACTAAAAGGTCCATCAAAATCAAACACTTCTACATCGAGAACAGATGGGGGATCGTCCATTGCATCAAATTCAAATATTTCTGCATGTAACGAGATTCCAACCATTAATCAAAACAAATGGAGAGATGACCTTGCATAAATCCTCAAATGATGGCAACTACAGAACTTCAAAAAAAGACAACACATCCTTCAAAAGAAGAAGATTTACCATTCCATTTGGGACTAGACTTTTGGAACTTGATTGAACTGGTTCTAGTTTTCCCATTGCATGTAAACACCACATACGGGTCAGAGAACCCACTTGTGTCAACAGCTGCCAAGTTGTTTCCTTCAATCAAGGCAACAGTCAACAGCCAACCATCCCCTTGTGCTTTGATGCCGTGGTCACTTCCTGGTTAAATCATCAAAGATACAACACATCAACACCTTGGAGAAACAATTACATGTTAAAAGACGTTATATGTGAAGCTTCTTAGAAGTCTGCATGTGAACATGGGAAGAAGAACATTCACCATACGAAGTATTCATAGTAACAAGCAGTGACAAACAGGAAAACACCTACTTCTAGTCCGGATGATTTAACCAAACAGGAAACTATTACTCCCTCCATTTCAATTTATTTGCCTGGTTTTGGCTTGGCACAGTGTTTAAGAAAGTAAAGAAGACATTTGAATCTTGTGGTCTTGAACTAAAGATATGTTGAATTTACCAAAATATCCTTTAATTTTGTTGTCTTAAACATGTCATGTGGAAAGTTGAAATTTAAAGAGTTACTAAAAAAGGAAAGAGACATAATTTTTTAAACGGACAAATGGAAAGTAAGACAAACAAATTGAAACGGAGAGAGTAGATGTATACCTTTTTGTACCCTAGCTCGCATGAAGCGTGATATCAGCTCTAGCACCCGTTTTCCTTGAAGTACTAGCACTCCACACACAATTAGCTCACCAATAGAATCAGGTAAGTCAAGACCAACAAACTCAAGCCCCTGTATTGTGCTAGGCATGGCCAACAAGACGTGCACAAATACATATAACCCAATGAAAAAGGTTGAAATTATAGTGAAGTTAGCAAAATACTGGAAAGCCAGCTTCCAATCGGACTGGTGCTCCACTTCTATAGATGCCAAAATCTGTTCTTTCTCTGAACCTAGGTCCTTCGCGTCAACTGGCTTTACGTTCTGAGATAATAAATTTGCATACTGATCAAAGCTCTCTTTAATACCTTGCCGTGCACCATTTTCTATCATACCTTTCATCATAGTGCTTTGCAAGAAATTCATGCGCCATGAAACTACTAACCTTGAAGACTGTTCTCCTGAAGGCAGCTCAGGACCAGGAGTAATGCTGTAAAGCACTTCTACCTTGAACGTGCTTCCATATGGGGCATCTGGGGTACTCACAATACATAAAAGAGAAAAAGACTTCCCATCAGCTTTAAGATACGTTTGTTCCTCTGTAGTTTTTAAAGCCTTGATTAATCTACTTGCAGCTTTGATAAAACTAACCACTCTTTTTAAACTTTCACCACCATTTTCAAGTTTCCAAGGTCCAACTCGCAACTCCGTGGACCCCTGAATATCTACTAAGGATTTAAAGAAGGCCGAATCCGGTGAGAAAAGGAACAAATTCAATTCATGAGGGGCAATAGCATACAATTGATCCACTACTACTCCAGAAAGGTTTGGAACTTCGCTTGGTTGTTCTCTTGCCTCAATGCTTTTCAATAGTTCTTGAAAGTTCCCCGATGTGGACTGTTCCTCTTGTGCATTCTCAGAAGCAGCTGTACTTGCTGTTTCAGGCGGCACTGTAACATCTGGAGCTTTCGAGTTAGTTGTGGATACTGCATCCCCATTCTTGTTGAAAATTTGAGCAATTCGACCAGCAAAGGTCTGCGCATGAGGCTTCTCCTCCTTTGAAGAGGCTGCTTCTTCAGATCTCAGAGGAGAAGATGATCTCAAGGGGCCATTGGAAGACAAAGGAGATTCAGATACCACATCAGACAACTTCTTCGACAGTGATACATGATCACCAACTGATTGCAAGTCTGCCAATGTATTGCCTTGCGAGAAACTTATTGTGAGAAGAATTTGACCTATTAGAAAGGAAGAACACAATTAAATTCTTGATTGGACCTGTGCAAACCATAAAAGAAATGCTATTTGTAATTGATACATTGAATTTGATCAAGCATCATAGCGTTTCAAATGAAGTTGGTTTGTTCTATCTAACTATTCCAGGCTAGGGGCATACGCAGACCAATCAAAAGAGGATGTATCCATAGATATCTCGACTAGTGCAAAAATACCTTTGTTGCAAATAACATGCAACAGAAAATCAGGAACACTTGGAAAGGGGGAAAAAGTACTCCCTCCATTTAAATTTGTTTGTCTAGCTTTGACTTGACTTAGAGTTTAAGAAAGTAAACAATACTTTTATATCTTGTGGTCTAAAAGTAAGATATATAGAATGTACCAAAATGCCCTTTAATCTTGTGGTCTTAAATAAGTCACATGGAAAGTTATAATTAAAGAGGGGCCAAAAAATGAAAGTGGCATTGTTTTTGAAACGGACTAAAAAGGAATGTAAGATGAACAAATTGAAACGGAAGGAGTAGAATATGAGTGATCAGAGACGAGCATAAAACATCTCAACATTATTCAACCACATAAGTCATCATCAAAATGGAAAGTAAGACCATATATTCTAGCAGATACAGAAACATTTCCTATCTGAAATCAGCTGAATGTCTAGTATTTTGCTAATTTTACTATCCTAAATCTCATGATAAGCATTTATTGATGTTCTGGTAAAGATGGTAACAAACACTCTATCACAGGTTAAAGTTCACTACCACCTTAATAATATCTTGAACCTGTGACCTAAAGCAAAATGGAAAGACCATATATTCTAGCAGATACAGAAACATTTCCTATCTGAAACCAGTTAAACTTCTTTTTTTATCAGGTAAACAATTTCATTTCACAAATCAAAAGGCCAAATTGGCCGGATACCAAAAAGTAAAGAACCTACAAAAAGATATAGTTCTCTACAAAAGACCCTCAATCCTCTATACATCCCTGGATTACATTGGTGCACCAAAAATGAATGAGTAATCGGAGACTACTCCTCAACTGCCTAAACTCATTTCTACCCCTTTAAAAGCCCTCCTATTTCTCTCTCCAAATGATCCACATCAAAGCCAGAGGAGCAACATTACATGCCAGTTTAAACATTCAAACAGAGAAACTAATCAAACAAAACATAAGTTGCACAAACTCTTCACTTTTGATACCGCACCCGTGTCGGATTCTCCAAAAATACACTACTTTTGGAGAATCCGACATGCACCCATTGACATTTTTTAAGACTCCGAGCAACATAGATTATCAAACAATCATCAAGATAAAAGGGAGACTAAATAACCCTTCAGAGATGAGAATAAAACAAGACAAAAAGTAACAACTCACCACAATCCTTGTTTTTGCCCTTCTTTTGCTTGGGCTGCAAAGTATACCAAGCAGTGCCAAGGGACTTGTCATTGGCATCAAAAACCTGAGAAACTGGAAATTTAATTTGTCCAACAAAATCATCATTGAAGTATTTATCTTCATCCAAAACAGAAATAATAAGCTCCTCCTTCAAGTCATCTACTTTAAAAGCAAATTCCTCACACCATGATGGATTTAAACATTTCTTCACAACTTTACTCTTAAACTTCTGTTTCCCCAATGACAATTTCACATATGGATCACTGAACCCATTTGGGTCCATAGCTGGTATGTTTCTTGCTTCAATAACTCTTACTAAAAGCTTCATCTTTTCCCCAGACAAAAAATGACAAAATCACAAAAACCCCACCTTCTCTGGTTGATCAAATGACCTAACTATTAAATAACTCAGAGCAAGGATAAGTAAAAGATCAATTTTTTATTGAAAAAGAACATAACCCCCCACCATCAAAAGTTCAAAAATAAAACCAAGAAACAAATTTGATGAAATAACCTTAACAACTAATAACTCAGAAGAAAAGAATTATCAAAAATATCAATTTTTTATTGAACAAGAACATAGCCCCACCTACCAAAGTTCAAAAATAAAACCAAGATTGATCAAATGGCCTTAACTATGAATAACTCAGAGGAAAAGGACAAGAAAAAAGATCAATTTTTTATTGAACAAAAACATAACCCCACCTACTAAAGTTAAAAACCAAAACCAAGAAACTAATTTTGAACAAATGACCTTAACTATTAATAACTCAAGAAAAAAAGGATAAGAAAAAGATCAAATTTTTATTGAGCAATAATGGTATACAAGTTCAATTAACCAAGGCGAAAAACATGGGGTTATTATTATAACATTTCTTCAAAGGCTGCAAACTAAAGACACCCCCTTTGATAAGCTAACAACAATGTTGAGAAGATATACATAAAAATAGGAATTTGACTTTTCTAGGTCAATGGTTTTTCATAAATACTATACAATAAACCAAATAATGGATACAATGAATTATCAAAAGCTCAAGTTTTCAAGAGAAAAGAATTGTAATCTGAGTGGAAAAAAAGGACAATTGAAGGGATCAATTCCAAATTAAAAAAGAAAATACCCCAGATACAGAAATGGCCCAAAGATTGGATTTTTATATGAAAAAACTCAAAAAAAGAATTAATAAAAATCCAAGAAAATTAAATATTGGCAATGGCTATTTAAGATGAAAAAGACCCTGATTCAGAAATGTTGATTTTTTTTTTATGAGAAATAAAAATGGGAGATTGGAGGGAAGAAGAATGGAGAAGAGAGCAGAGAGACAAAAAAAAAATGATTAAAATAATAAAAATCAGAAAGAAAGAAAATAAGTTGCAATTTGTCGCGTATGAATTTAAGACTTTTTCTAAAGATTTTTTATTTTTTTTTGCTATTACTTCCTGAAATAAATAAACTATAATCTAAAATATTTTAGCAGTCATTAATATAACTAAGTTCTTCTTTAATAGCTTTACGTTATAATTTTTTAAGCTTTTTGGCTGTTTTTGAGTCCAAAAGGTAAGGCTTTTTTGTTTTTTTGGATCAACAACTTTTCCCTTTTATCTATTTTGCAGTTACAAGAAAAAAGATTTCGAAAAAAAAGGTTAATACGGAATAATAACAACGTCACAGATATGAATAGAATAAAATGTACGCAAATTTGATTCTTATTCTATGAAGGTAGAGAGGATATTTCCGACAGTGACAACATTAAAAATTTGATGAAGATGATACGAATTTTCATCTCAATTGTACTGTTGAGGATGTGCAAAATGAAATATACATTCGTAATAGCTAACATTTAACCATTGTACACCACATAATTTTCTAGCGAAAAGTGTATATCCAACCACCATTAGTCAGAGACTCTGTTCATAATTTTCGATAGACCATCGGCTCGACTAAAATATACCAATAGATCAAGTATATTAATGAGTTAGAAAAGAATTCCATATTGAAAGCAATTGTGAAGAGAATAGTAATATGATAGCGAAGTCAATAAGACAATAATTGAATAATAAGGCAGTATAGAAGACTAATTAAAACAATATTGATTATTTTTAAAAAAAATAAATTAGATTACAGTCGAAGTTCAGATTTTTCTATTTAGGATGATGTCTTCTATAAGTTGAAGATGTGACAACTATAAACAATTTACTTTTTTATGAAAATTGAATGTGATTGATTGTTCAATTAAATCTATCTCTTAATATTGTATACATCAACATGCATGAGTCATATAGACTAGAATTCAAAAACGATTAATCCTACCCTAATAGATCTCTTCTATCATTATCATCTTTTTTATTCAATCATTTTCTATAGTTAAATTTTATCAAGCACCAAATATAAATGTCTCTAAATCTTGAACTTACATCAATTAAATTATTTTATAAAAAGAACTATTCCACGGATCATATTTAATGAGCATTTATACACAATAGTCAAGCAAGAATTTGATGATGGTGAATATAATAAAAAATATTATAAGGTTGAAGAAAGCCTATATTTTGCAACGAGAGTTGAAGGGGAACTTTCGATGAAATTAAAGGCCAATATATCATTGCTCATAGATTCATTATTTTTAATTAAAATGTTTTCATTCCACCCCATCCACCATTCCTTTTTGGGTTTTTTTATAAAAAAAAAATCAATAATAATATGCACAACGTAATTTTACAAGTAAAATTTAGAGAGAGAAAATAGAGTATATATTGATCTTATTCTTAACTTATTGAGATAAAAATATAATTTTTGATAGACTTAATTTAAGAAAAATGTTTTCAAAATTAAATACGAGAGAAATAACAATCTCTGTGCAAGGAAAAAAAAAATCATAATGATTTTGGTCTAGTGTTGTAGCTTTTGACACTTTGGACAATCCTAATAACAATTATAGAATGAAATAAATAGAGAGATAATTAGTTTTCATTAATTTCTTGAATATTAGTACTAGTACTAGTCATAGGAGTTAGGAATATTTAGTCACACTTAACACGTATTTCAAGAACCTTGGACTAAAAATAATAATTTGTAATTATTTTCCTTTTATGTGTCTCTAAAAATAAACGCTAAATTTATGTCTTAAGATATTAATCTCATTTTTTAATATTTATTTTATTTATGAATCGTGTGTTTATTTCCTTAAAAATAAATATCATTAAGAATAAAATTTAAAAATAATTTATTTTATTTTTAATATGATAAATAATCTGAAATCTGGAACGACGATTTTAAAAGCTACAATAAATAATTCAAAATCAGCTAAATAAACAAAATGATTGTGTCGGTTACATTTTGTAGCAATACTGGTACAATGTCCTCCAAGGAGGTCCACTTCATTGATTTGATGCAAAGGGCAACTCTCCTTTTTTTTTTGAATTTTGATCACACTTTTTTCGTTCCAAAATAAGTTATGTGTATGAAGCTATAAAATATGATATTAATAAAATATTTGTAAAATAAAATTATATTTAAGTTGAGTATGCATTTAACTTATTTAAAAGGAGAAGTTCTTGTAATTAAAAAAAAAATCTATTGAAAAACTTATGAAAATAACTTATTCCAACTTAAAGTTCATCTTCAAAAGAATGTGGCTTCATTTTTAATTAATATTTTTGAATTTGAGATATAAAATTAAAAAAAAATTAATAAAAAGAATTTACTCTTTATTAAGTTTACTTGATATAAATTTGAAATAAACGAATTTGAATTAGTCATATCAGTTTTCATCTTTGGTGTCAATGGGCCAAAATTGTTAATGCACAATCATCAATTAGTTTGGTAACCAAACACTAATAAATGGGTTTACTTTTTATTGTTTTGTCAGGCTCTTCCATTTTTTTTATTACTCAATAGATTTTTTAACAAACATTGGAATGCCCTGTGACTCATATTGTATTCACATAAATCCTAAACTGCTTAGAATGATATTTTAGGTTAATCATACTAAAACCTTAAGTATAATTTAGGTTTTATTTATTTTTATTAAGATCAAGATGTCTTAATTTGAATATGCATTTAAATATTAAGATGTTAATTAAAATTTAAAAGTTTAAATCTGAATAGTAAGATGTTACATTAACATGTGAACACTAAATAGTTAAGACTTAAGAGGTTTATCAACATCTGAATGTATAATTTTTATTTTTAAAAAATACTAAATTGATCAAATATTATAGCAATAAAATATTTTTATATGATAGTTGATAGTGATGATGGCTAACGATGGTGATTGTATGTGTCAATTTGGGATGGTATTGACCGGTGATAGTGATAGTATTAACAGTAGTGATTAACAGTGGTTGTTGGTAGTGATGGCCCATAGTTAGCAGTGGAACAATATTAATAAGTACTGACTATGGTGAATGGTGATGACGATTAGTGATATATAATGTTAACTCATTGTGATAACTATTGTAGTGATTAATGAATGTAATAATGATTGGTGGTCATGATTGTATATAATGACATATGGTGATAACAATTGATTTTGGTGATTGATGATAATAGTATTGATTGTGGTTGGGCTGAGGGTGGTGATTATAGCAGTTTGGGATGTTGGTTATGGATTGTAGTTGGTGGTAGTTATGAGTGAAAGTAGATGGAGTAGCGGTGAACTGTGATCTTTATAGAAAATGTTAAATAGACATCTTAATGATATTAAGGGCCCGTTTGGCCATGCGATATGAAATCATGATACGAAATCATGATATAATAATATGAAATCTTGAGATGAAATTGAAGTTTTGTTTGGACATGCGATATGGATTTTTTGTGTTGTATATTTTCTCATAAACATAAGAATTTCATAAGTTGTAAAACTATTAAAATAGTCCCATTTTTTTATCCAATCTTACCAAATAATCAAAAAATTATAAAATCGCATAATAAATTATTACAAAACTATTTGTTCTCCACTTAAATAACTTTTTCATCTAACTTTAATTGGTCAAACTTTAATTCAATAAAAAAATTTGAACATAAATTGTAGTGTACTAGTCTTTAATATAATCCTCCCACATAGTACGAACAATCTCCTCACGTTGAACTTGCATTTCTCGATCATATGGCCGCGAAGACGAACCAACGTAACATTGTTACTTTGAGTCATTTGTTGGTCAATATCATCCGCAACTATATTTTCATGCTCATACACCATAAATATTTCATCACTCTTTTAATATTCTTGCAAATAATTATGTAACACTGCACAAACTATGCCAATTTTCACTTGTTAATATCATAATGGTTCATGCTTTGTTTCACTTGTGTGCAATTACACATTTTCAATGCATAAATATCGTGCTAAAATCAAATATACCGGAACTAGTGATTATCAAACATACATACCAATTTTTTCCTTTTTCATATTAAATTTCTTTAAACATTTTCATATGTAGCCGAAAGAGAAGTTTTTTTTATTATGAAAAACCAAAATGATATTACTCGCTCTGTTCTTATTTATATTCACCAAATCAATTCCTACTTTATCATTTATATTGAACAAATTTAAAGTAATAATAAATTTTATGTTGGTGAGAATAATAAAATTTAAAAAAAGTAATGATGTGATTATAAATTTTATTTACATATGAAATAAATGGTTAGTAGATATAAATGTGGGGTTGTTTTAACAAAATATAAATTTGTGGGTCAAAAATCATATAAAAAAAAAATCTCAAGTCATGATATGAAATTCTCATATCATGATTTTTTTTTTTGGATAATATGGTATTTCAATCTCATGATATGAAATCATGAGATGAAATCAGCGTGAAATCGCATGTCCAAACGCTCATTCTATCTCACGATTCCATATCGTGATATGGTATCGCATGACCAAACATCCACTACGGGCCTGTTTGGCCATGCGATATGGTATCATGATATGGAATCATGAGATGAAATTAATGTTTTGTTTGGACCTGCGATATGGAATTTTTGTATTGTATATTTTCTCATAAACATAAAAATCCATAAGTTGTAAAACTATTAAAATAGCCCTAATTGTTTATTCAATCTTATCAAATAAACAAAAAATTATAAAAATTGCATAATAAATTATTACAAATCTATTTGATCTCCACTTAAGTAATTATTTCATCTAACTTTAATTTAATTAAAAAAAATTGAACATAAATTGTAGTATACTAGTCTTTAATATAATCCTCCCACATAGTACAGACAATTTCCTCACGTTGAACTTGCATTTTCGATCATGTGACCGAGAAGACGAACCAACATTGTTACTTTGAGC